ACCCTTTCACTCCCACCCAGGTACTTTGAAGAACAATGCCCCGTCTCTGGTGATATCATCGAGGATTTTGGTAATGAAATCGTTTTTTTTTCGTTTACGAGGAGAATTAATGCAAATTTTCAACCCTATAGTAAAAAATCTAAAACCCTGCTTAGAATCTGATAATTGGAAAGACTGCATTTTAGTATTCGAAGTGGTGAACAGAAAAACCACATTATATTATTACTTCATAATATTTATATATTAGTTATGTAAAAAAATACGTAACTTTATCATTATTATTATTATTTTGTTGCTTATTTTATTTAAGATGTTCCAGAAATGTTTTCTATTATTTCATATTTAAAAATATAATATTACGAATTTACGAATTCCAAAATAAATGTAGGTATTACATGTAATATACAAAGTAATAGATTCTGTAAATTCCAATAGGTATACCGACATATAAAATATGAATTTCTTATACAAACCATGTTTTAGGTATTCAAATTTTTTTTATTTTTTATTTTTAAAAGAAGTTTTCTAAATAATTTACTTGGTTAAACAATGAGTTCATAAGAATCTAAATAAAATCGATAAAATTATTTTCTAAAAAAAATTATCTAAAGACCAATAAGAATATTTAAGTATACATATCGAAAAGCTAATAATCAAAAATACTACAAAACACTCCAGAAATGTATATCACGGAATTTTATTAAAACGAATATAAAATATTAAAAGTTCCAAATAAAAACCTCAAATACAAATAATTAGTATTAATGTGCGTTATTTAAACTAGTATTAATGTATACATGTAAGTATAGTTTTCTTTGCAATTTTTTTATTTTTTTATCTTTATAATAACTTGCAAAATATTTTTTTTGTTCTTGATTTAAAATAAATAATATTTAACTTCTACCAATGTATTATCAAATAATTTAGTGTTGTTCTTTATTTTACTAGTAACATTAATAATAGGAAATATTGTTTCTGAGTAATTTATGAGTGTTTAAATACATTATATTTTATTAGGTACCTACGTCAGAAGTGGCGTCGGTACAAAAACTGGATATTTTTAATACTTTTCTTGGTAAAATATTAAGTTTATTTTATAGACATTATTATTATTATTTTTTTTTTTTTTTACTTAATTTTAAACAGGAAATATTATGGTACAGCAGAATTTAATAATGAGCCAAATTGTTATTGTTATATTCAAAATATTGACTACACTCTCACTCAGTTAAACATCCGAATACTTACAAATAGATTAATAACATAATATTTTAATAAAGAGTAAGTTATAAATGCCAATATGTAAATAGTATGTGGTATATTTATTAGAACTTAACCCAATCTATTGCACACCTAACATGGTAACAAACTATAATAACTATGGCTGTAAACAATTAAATTGTCTAATTAATCTATAATTTCACATACTTTAAACTTTTGTCTTACTCCTTTTGAAGTACAAGAAAAAACTCTAGGTGTTTTTATAATACATTTGTATAATAATACTAACAAAAAAAATGTGGCCTTCATCCTGACCGAAATAAACTAAAGCATGAAAAGAAAAAATACGTATGATATATTTGAATAATTTAGCACCGAAAAACGAAAAATAAATACAGATATACCTATACATATGACTAGAGTATATTAAGCAAACTTGCCCTTTTGATTGACTTTTTCATTTTTACAATATTTTGGAACCGATAAATTTGTGTGCATGCTGCATACTCATTGTAATAAGAATACTGAATAGCAATGTTGTTGACTTATACATTGAAATATAAATGTATTTACTGAGAAAATAATTTTTTTGTATTATTTGATAGTTGAATTAAGTCCAACAACGAATGGAAAAACCATTAGCATCTACAGATTTATAAAATTAAGTAAATAGCTCAATGAAGTTGAGTTGAAGTACGTTTAAAGCCTACCGGAAATGTTAATTAATTATTTCTTTATTGTGAAATTCTTACAAATACAAATTTTGATGTTCATGCACTGCACATTATAAATTCAAGAAAAAACAATTACATTGATGTTATTCATATACATAATCAACAGCCTGAGAATATTCAACCGAATGGATTGAGCGTCGAATATAAAAATAGATTCGGCAATTCGGTAATTATGTTTAAAAAAAATGTTCATGAAAGAATTTAATTTGAGCACTAAATTTTTTAAAATTTTACTGAACAGTAAACAATAAATAATCAATCTTATTCCAATATTTGTAAATTTAAATACACACAGAACCAATTTTCGATGAAATATCTATATTACAATAAAACTATTTTATCTGTTCTAATTTGAATAAATTTAACTAAATTACATTTTTGTTTTTTTTTTTTTAAATTAAGATTAGTTAAAAAATGCTTATCTATTGACTAGAATCTTGTAAAAACATTTCTAGGTACGCAAAAAAATTACATCTAAGAAATGTATAAGTATTATTAACTATACGTATAGGTGTATCAAACATTATTCTATATTTTATCAACAACATTTTTATTTGTAACATACAATTTGATAATATTTTTCTTGAATATATAAATAATAAATCAATATCCTACAGCATGGATGTTATTATTATTTATTGCAGTACTGACAAAATTCTATAAACCCTAATAAATATATTTTGAATAGCTACCTATTTATTTTATATGCATATTGCAGATATTGATAAACATAAAGAAGTTAATTATTTTTAAACCTAACCAACAGTTTAATAGTTTTTAATTAACATATCTGCTTAATTTTTTAATTTATTTATTAATATTTTTTACACATATTAGTTATTACATTTCTATTATAATAATAGATAATTTGATTTATAAGGCGTCATATACACAAACTACTAAACTAGAATGGCTGAACTAATGATACACGAATACTTACAGATTATAATAAATAGAGACAGTTTTCTTTAATTAAAGGAATCAGAAACTCTTCAAGAAATATTGAGTATATTATATCATGATTAGTATTAATATTATGATCTAAATCTTTAACATTTTAACGTAATTTTCCTAACTTGTATACTGATAACTAATTTCAGTCTCTTTCTCGTTATATTATTTATATTTAAGTCTTTTCTTATTCCATACGTTTTTATTATAGCTGATAAAATAAAAAACTTATGAACTTTTATTTTTATTATCCGTGTATATTATAATATTTCACTATCAAACACCGTGCTGGAATGTTAAATTATGAAGGAACTATCAATCAGACCAATAATTCGGTCTAAAAATATAAGTTACAGCTGGCGTAATCAGGTACTGATGTTTTAAGTTATAACTACACGGACGATGATACTAAAAAGACCTTAAATTAATTAAATAAAGTAAAGAAGCAGAAATCAAACTCAAATTTTATTTTGAAGAATCTTGGTGGACTTACAGAAGATTTTGGAGATAAAAATAATAATTTTAGAAGCATTTTTCTAATGTGATTCACTGATTCATAAGTAAATTAAATGTGATGTTAGTGAATTATTTTAATTATTTGTAACTTATAAACTATTTAGTTAGAATATTTTAACAGTGTAATTGATAGAGCTGTAACATTCAGAACTCAAACTTAAAAAAATTATTTGTTCTCATTTTAACGGTATATTATCTACAGACTTTATTTGTAGGTAGAGAAGAGTTGATGTAATCCAGGATGCGTATTTAATAAATATTACATTAAAAATATCCAGTTTTCAGTGATAGAATTTTGTTTTTGAATTAAACTTGCTTTCATAAAATTACCCTGTGAATTTAAATTAAATTATTAACTTTTGTTAGATAATCTCCAATAAGTCCACCTGTTTTAACATTCTGTACTACTATTAGTACTAATTAGATATTTTATATGTTATTGTTTTTAAACAGTGTTGAATACTGTTCATTGAGATCAATAACCACACTGCTTTTTGTGCAAGTAAAATAAATCAAATAATTTGGTTATGTACTCGCAAACCTGTGTATAAGCAACAAAAAAACAAACAAATATGTTCTTAATATTACATAGGTACATTATAGAAATTGACTCGGTTCTTTCAGAATTATTAATAAATGCAAAATGAACAAGTTTTCTATGAATAGTTCTTGCAATAGTTTCTTAATCATTACTTTTTCATATTCTCAACTGTTGGTAACAACTTTCACTCAAAATATTAAAGAATAAAATAAATTTAAAAAATATGAAATTGTATCAGAAATTGTCTTTTATTGAGGGTGAGGGAGGAAATAAGATTATTTTTTATTAAGTACATAAAATGTATTGTTTTTTCTTGTACCTAATGGCATTTCAAGAGCGAGTAAAAAAGTAAAAATATTACATTGACTTACATAATATAGCTTCCCATGGACATTTTATGTAAATTGGTAAATATGATATTTACCTAAATATATAGTAAACACGAATGAATTTATATTTAATATAAACACACTTACATTGTTATGTACACACATAATACACGCACACATATAAATGGAATAATAGCAACAAAAGAAAAAGAAAATATTATAAATTATTTACGAATTTAAATTTAAAATATAAAATATTAGGAATATCTTAGACTAGCAACGTTAAATAGAACAGAACACTATCAGTCAATATGCTTGCGCAATTATTATTTAAATCTGTTCCAAAAGTAAAGTAAAGGAAAAATGGGAAATTTTTTATATAAGATGGGTACCAATAATAATTATATTGCACAAACATTAACAAAATGTTTTAGGAAATATTAACATTTAAAAAAAAAAAAAAAAAAATTATAATTTGTATATTATTTATAATATGCCTTGAAAAGTGTTTATTTTTATAACGTTATTATGGTGCACGCGATTTAATTTAAATGTATCTAATTAAAAATATAATTAATAAATAAACATAATTTACCTTCTTTAGACATGATAAATATCAGCGAATTTGCAATTCAGTTAAAGATGTATTAGAAGGGAGAATGAATTATGTAAACATTTGAAAATATTCGAAGAAGATTGATGAAATTATTAACAGTCAGTTAATGAATCAGCAAGAGACATTAACAAACTGGATGCATCTCCTTTGCCTAAAAATTATAACATGTATTATTATAATAATATCGCGTATTGATTTATTTTATACATAACGGTTTTTCTACACTTAACCATCGGTACACCAACATATTATTTTAATTCATTTTAAATTTTATTTCGAAATAAATATTCTAAATCGCTAATATCATTTTTACCTTTATTGGTTTTGAACGATACTTGAAGTACACGGTTGCCTAACGTATATCCATTAAGAGATTGAATGGCAACAACTGCTTCATCATAATTAGTCATAGTGACAAATCCGAATCCTTTGCATTTGTTTGTTTGCAAATCTCTAATAACTTTAACACTCTGTACAGCACCAAATGGACCAAATAGTTGCCACAATACATTTTCTTCTGTTTCCGGTGCCAAGTTATACACAAATATGCACCAGCCAGATCCATTCATTGAATTACCAGGTAACATGGAGTTTGCTAACAGATCACCGGCTAATGGTGAGTATCTAAAATAAATTAAATCATTACATTTAATTAAATATTCAAATTATTTCAATTTTAAATGAAAACTATTAAACTCAATTAAATTGATATAATAAGAATGTTTTGATAAAAAGTTATTAAATGGTGACGTTCACAGGAATTTTATTTTGTGTTTAAGGTTTAAAACATAATTTGTTTTTTAAATTATGGTTGATAATTGATATGCTTTAATTTTATTAAATTAATGATAACTTATTTAATGAACTTAATATTTTATTCCAAAGTTTAATGCTACCTACATATTTTTAATATAATAATGTAAACTTAATTTCTGTTAAAAATTAAAATCCTAACAAAGCTTAAATTGCCGGTCTACAGTTAAAATAATTTTTAATGTTTTATTTGTTATTTTTTATGAAAAATGTCTTATTTACAATTGCAATATTCAAATATTTATTTATTGTCAATAAGATAAATGTTATACATAAAGCTATTTCAATGTTAATTGGATTTAAAAAAGTGAATTAGGTTTATTCAATAATTTTAATTTTTGTGGCTAATTTTAAAAGTTATTTTATATGACATACTAAAATCAAATGAAAAAAATAAATTTTACTATACTTGTTAAGATAACTTAAACTATCAATAGATTTTTAGATAAATTAAGATTTAGTAACGACTAAAAGATTAAATGTTTAATATATAATATGCCACATAAAATTTAAATTGAAAGCAGAAAGCATGAATTTTATATATAGAATTAAGGGCCGCTTTCACCACTACTTTAAACTTTGATTAAAGTTAACCGGGGTTTAATCGGCCGAATCTGCCAAAGTACTGCCACATGAATTCTATATATAATTTGTTTGAAGTTACATCCTAGATGGCCATTACAGGGAAAGTATTACAGTGGTTTAACCTTTAACAGTCTTTTTACTGTTGCACTGTTATTACTAATTTATAGCGTTTATTATTATCATTTTTTGAATTTCATCTGTGGCTCAGGAAGGGACCCAGTCACCTCTAAATGCGTATATTAGGCTTTGCATTCTGGAAGTGTATTCTATTTTTGTTATTTCAGAAAACTATATACATGTTTATATTTATTTAAACAGGTCTCTCTAGGCTTGTATTAAGTGGTATATTCGTGTTTATTCCATGCAGTTAAACCGTGTAAACTATTATTATTTAATTTAAATACAATTTAGACCTTAGACCGGTGAAAAAAATTTAACAATAATAACTTTAACTTTTTACTAGATGGTTGTATACTAATTAATTATGAAATAAATTAACTCTACATGGCTAAGCTGTTTTGATATTTAAATTATTTAAACAAATACAGAAGAAAATCATGGGAAGCATTCAGCTGTATATCAGATTCTAAGTGACCTCGGATATGGAGTATTTCACTATAATAGTAAAATTTCAATTCAAATTCAATGAAACCATATGAAAAACAATTTTGAGCGGAGAAGGTGTATCACCTTTATTTTAAGGATATTTTATAATTTTATTAATTTAAATTACTATTTTTATTTAAGTTTACATAACATGTGAATAGATATTTCTAACTGTATTTCAAAGCTAATAAAAAAATATTAGTGTATTCTTGTATTCAATTTCAAAGTTTTTTGACAGTGCCTAATCTATTGAAATATATAATCAAAAAACTAAACAATTTTAAATGCCTATAATAATTAGTGTCCGTGTTTTAAACATTTCACTTTGCATAGAAAACAATAATTATTTCTTGAATAATTAATTTAATTTAATTTTCAAGCCACTTATAATAGATATTAAAATTAAATGTTTTATAATTTTTTAATGTCTGTGGTCTGTTCAAAATTCAAACATTAATCAGTTATAATAATAAATGTTTAAATTTCTGGTCAGGTGGCACTGCTGGGAGCCTTCCTACTATGTTATTTTATGTCTAATGTTCTTATGTCACCACACTTACTCATTATACCTTGTCTGTTGTATAGATTGTAAATATTCTTTTTAAAAAAAAAAAAAAAAATAATAATAATAACAAACAATAAATGTGGCCTTACACTCAATATTTTCTTTAACTACAGTATAAGAACAACTAATGAGGGACCTTGCGTATATTTTCAAGCTTTTGACCGAGCATGAAATTTATCAAAATTATATTTAAAAAGGTAAAAAATGTTAAATATCTATAAATAGCTACTAAAAAAAACCCCATAATATTTTATAAGTTATGTCTATAAAATACTCATATAATTGTAATTGAAATTATTAAAGTTATTATTATTTGTTTTTGAATTAGGTACAGTGAAATCGATTTTATTCAAAAATTGTTGTTGTGTAAATAGATATGTTTCTCTGTAATTTTTTTAAAATATATCTAGATTATTGAGAAAAGTTAGGGAGTTTTAAAAGCAAAACTATATCCAATTAGCCACTAGAAACCCCCCATGAAGTTAAAAAATGAAGCATATTTACTGCTCTAGAAGGTGACAAAAAAACACATAATTGTAAAACCAATTAACATTGATCCGTTTGATCTAAAAAATGGTTATCATTTTTAAATATCACAATCTAGTCATCATAAGGCAATTTATTTAAAAATATTCACTAATATGCTTGAAGTAAATAATTTAGTACTGAGCTAAATTTTATACTACTTTCTAAGGTTGAAAATGTTAATTATTCATTTTAAATGCATGGACCTAGATTTACACGTACCTACAGTTATCTTTATTTTATGTTTAGAAATCTTATTTAAGAAACTATACTGACCTCTGTAAGCCTTTGTTTATGGCTAGCATGGTCTTTCCAGTGCTAAAACAAAATAAAAATAAAAATAATAAATATATATTTATAAAATAATAAATTCTATATAAAATAAATTGTACAATGAGCGGCAGCTTTAATAAATATTAAGTTACAAGTAAAAATAAATTGTAAATGGTTATCTCAACAGTTATTTGATGCAACAAAAAAAGGAGGTAGATACAAATCTTCTTGATAGCATATTGTTAGAATTTTATTTATCCATGGAAAATAATACAAAACATTTTCTTAAAAATTGATCAATGAACAATTATACTTGAATAAATAATCCTTATTCATGTAATTTAATAAATATTTAACATTATTATCATTGATTAGAAATATTTTCTATAAATGAAGCAAAAAATAACTTCAAAAAAGTTAATTTATATACATTTTTAAAATAAATAAATCAAACTGTGCTTTTCATATGTTTGACACATAAAATAATAATAATGCATTATACAATAAATTATTTATTCAAAAACAAAAAATAGCAACTTAAAAAAATCTATCTTAAAGAAAAAATAAATTTGATTTTTTTTTACAAGCCAATAATTACATGCACATCAATGAACAATACTATATACCCCCTCTTTTCGACATGAAACATAAGCTTTGTTTCACTATGTTCTATGTGCACAACGAAAGTAAATTGTGTCTCTATTTAAATAATTTCTGCCTACCAGCAATTTTGTGTGCTCACCAGCACTTAATACAAATAATTGGAAATATATTACCTATGCCATCTCGTGATACATCAATCCATTGGTTATAAATTACACTTTGCTACAAATCCAGGAATGGTATGAACAATTTCTCCTCTCCATTGATCAGGTTATTGAGTTTTAAGTCAAGTTTTGATTTATTATGAATATTATTTTTTAAATTATTAACAAATAATGTCAATTATGAATTAAAGTATAATTTTGACCATCATCCGCAAAAGGAATTTTAGGAGTAAGAGTTAGTTATTTTATTAAAAATACAATTAATGATTTTTAAATAAACAATTTGATTTATGCTTAAAAAATGATAAATTTAATAGAATATAGTTTTAATCCCACTTCATAAATATCGAAATACACATCATGTCAATGCTAAATAGGTTAATTTGAGAGGAAATACTTATTTAACTATCGCACAACTGGAACTGAATCCTCCTAGCCCTAATAATTTGCTGTAATGTTCTTTACGGTTGTAGACTCAATGGAATTAAATAATATAGTAAATACACACATACAAATATGAAAATATGAAACTAAAATAATATTAATTAAATACCAGCAGAATAATAATATTTAATTTAAGCATTTATCATGTAATGAAATGTATGTACATATTTAAGTTGAATTTTGAGTAAAAATACTATACTAATATGTATTAATTACATTGTAGCAGTGATTATCTAAATACTAAACTTATATATTCAATGAAAAAAAATCAATTGGAATTTTAAATATATTAATTTAGTAGTTAATATTGCATTAAATAATAGAAAAAAAATCCAATTTTTATATTATAAAATTTATTTAATATTGGTAATGATTATCTCTATATACTCAAACTACTAAGTATAGTTTAATACTTGTTATATAAACAAGTATATTTAAATTTTTTTATTTTTTCAATTTAAATCATATATTGTTATAAACTTAAAGAACATTACAACAACATTACTTATCAACCCCTAAGTTACTAAAAATTAATTTTATGATATGTACATTAATATATTGGTAAATGTAGAATAGTATAATGTGCAATCAAATAAAATAAAATTGTAAAACAACACTATTTATAAGCTGCCACACTTTGTAAAATAAAAAAAAATAAAAACAAAAACAAAAGACAAAATAAAAGTATAATATACTAAATTTAATGATATTAAAGAATAATAAATTTAAAAAAAATACTGTAATCACTAATTAATAAAAATTTAAATAATCAGGAAAATGTTGGTTCTTTAATAATAATATAATTACGTAAATAATATGAAGTCAAAACAAATGAAGGGTGGGTGATTTATACATGAAATTAAAATGTAAAATGTATTATAAAATATGACCATCATTTTACAGAAATACAAAATTTGACTTTTGTTAAATAAGCAGTTTAAAGACATAAGTCATAATATAATGAATTAACATATAATTAGAGCCCAGAGGTTCAGTATACAGTCACAGTTAGCAGTTTAAAATATAATGTTAGTATTTCAGGCATTAGATTATATATTATATTTGTGAGAAAAATTTAGTGTAGTGTTAAAACATACCAATGTTTCATTAAAGAATCTAAAATTTAGATATGATATTATCTAATATAAGACTTATTATATTTTTTAAATTTTCAAATAAATGTGTAAAATATATCTTGATATTAAAAATCAAAGGTGCAATATCATTAAATCTGGTTAATTTATTAAAATATTTGTAGAAATCATTTTTTTTTTTTTTTTTTTTAGTGATAAGGTGAGAAAGATTATATTTATTAACTAAACTTCCATATTTTGGAAATAAAATAAATGAACATTAGAAGAGTATTTTAAAACAAAGATTTACAAATTCATAAAATAAATGGAACCGTGGATACGGTGTATCTCTATGTATTATGTCTTTATAACTTAAAACACTAATTCCCGTATGCATAGTCAAGTATGTGTCACATAAGACGCCTTATGTGACACATAAATTGACTATGCATATGCATATAAATTGGTTTATTATATTATATTATATTAATTCGTTAAGTTTATTATGAAAACTTCAATAAAAACAATTATAACAAAGTTATAAATTAAATTTTTAATATATTAAAAACAATATTATGAAGAATTTATATAAATAAGTATATAATAATAAAATAGATTTTAAATGTATTATTAAGTATTGATCAAAAACACTATTATAGACTCATTTTATTTAAGATGTCAAAATGTGATAACTTTTTTATGCTTAAAGATATTAATATAATTAGTATTGTAAATTATAAATTTTAAATAATACATTTTTGACTATGATATAAAAATAAAATGCTACTAGAATTTAAGTACTGTTTTTGGGCTTGTGCCTATGAATTTTAAATATATTACTAACTACAATTTTAAATATGTAAAAGTGGAAGAACAGCACTCGAGAGACCATCAAAAGAAAATTTGCGTTTAAATAATGTATAATTAACCAATTTATGATGTGCTTAGTAAAAAAAAAAATAAAAAAAAAAAACTTCTCTTAAAAATCTAACTGTAGATCCTTAACTTTTATATTTAAATGAACATTAAATATATTGTTATTTGAAAAACCTAACATTTTATCTATAAGGTTTTTTAATTAATTTCCCCCTAGTCAATAAATACAAAAATTAAATTTTTAATTGATAGATTGTAGGTATACCTATTATGTCATTAACATTTATTTTTTTAATCAAACTATAGTTTAAGTGTTTAATATATCTGGTATATTATTGTTGTAAATGTATATTTAACGTAATATATTTTTCCTTTTGTCTAACCAAATTATTATTTAAATTTCTTTAATAGTAATTTTATTGAAAAAATGGTACATTTAAAATGAATTGTTAATGAATTGATTCTAATAATATCACTGTAAAACAAATGAAGAGAAGAAATGGTCATACCTGGATAAAGGGGAGAGTGGAATATACCTGAAGCGCCCAGTAGGGTGATGAATAGGGCCAGCAGCAAACCTTCGAGCTCCTTGAGGAGTTAAATAAGCTGCTAATGCAGGTACTGCTTTATTGCTACTAGGATTGTTGGCAAACTTCACAGTAATTGATTCTGTTGAACCTTTGGGAACAGTTCCATTTAATTCTTGAATTGCTCGTTCGGCTTCAATTCTTTGATCAAATCTTATAAAACCAACACCTTTTGAAATTGCTAAAAAGAAATTGTAGTAAATAAAATGTTTAACACATTTGACCACTTACACATTAAGTCGTCGAGATATCATACAAAATAATAATATAACAAATTACAGTGTATTATAAGTTATGTAGAATGAAATTTTAAATAATTTTATTAATAGCAATAAATTATTTAGGATGCTATTTTTTTTATTTGCATATAACTAATTTTAACTATAGTGTATTTTATGACTCTATAAAATGCAATAAAGAAATAATTTTTTAACGTAGAAAATACAACATTTTATTCTGAGTATTAACTGTCGGTTAGAACTATACTAGATTTAGATCTAATGTAGCTATTTTGTTTTAATTATTATTAGCTTACTATCTAAAATAATTTACATAGATTTTTTTAATGAATATTTGTGAAATAATAAGTTCATATTTTGTTTAAAAATAATAATAATAAATACAAATTGAATAATATTTTTTTCATTAAATTCTAATTATGAACATACAACAATTGCATCAAGAATATAAGATTATATTTATTCCAGATTAACTTATTTAACTTAAACTTAAATATGTTTATGAATACAGTATAAAATATGTTGTTTAGTTAATTTAAAATTTTTTTAAGAATAAGTGATTACTGATTATCACATTTCAACTATAATTCATTTATTAAAATCAATAACTTACACGGCGAATGATCTCCTCCAGTATTTCCTACAAATTGTCGCACTGTGAACATATCAGTAATATTTCTTCCATTAGAATATTTCAAGGCAAACAATGAAATAATGAAAATATGAAACTAAACTCACCAGTCATATTATCACATAAAATTCTTGATGTTATTATCCGACCATAAGGACTAAATAAATTTTCAAGGTCTTGTTGAGTCATATGTTTTGGAAGACCACTGACATACAAATTAGCCCCTTTAATTGCTTCACTACTAGGTCTTGCAAATGATACCTTAAATTGTTTTTATTACAATTAATTTCTAGGACATTGATTAACTAACTAATATAGTACATATGTATACAATTTAATGTACCTTAATTGTTTTATTTTGTAATCTTAGTCCATTTAAAGTATTAATTGCTTTTTCTGCATCTTCTGGTCGATGGTAGTTAACAAAACCATAACCCAAACTTTGGCCTACAAAAACAAAAATAATTGAACGATTGAAGCATACACACTATATACTAGTAGTGATGAACATTTTATATCTCAATATGATAAATATAAATAAAATAGTGAATCAATTAAATATCAAATTAATTTATTGGGTAATTAATTATATATGTATGTACCTATATGTATGTATGTTCATATTCATGTTAATATCTATAATCAGTATTATATATACAAATAAAGTTAATAAAACAAAGTTATCAAAAAAAAGTAGATAAATATACTATTGAGGTTTTATTGTTGTATATACTCATAGTCTCCTCACTGATTTTTATTCCAATAAGTATAAGTTACTTCCAACAGACTAATATAAATACTTGATCAAAAATTGTAAATTTAATTATAATATAAATTATTGTAGATTAAATCTCATGATTGAATATATATTTAAAGGATTAGAAGACTTCAACATAAAAATGTCAAATTTTAAAAAGAAAGAAAAAAAAACAAAGAAGTCAACATCTTTTCAAGTTATAATACTAAATTAAATGTATTCATGTTAAAATGATATGCTGTAATTTTACTTAACAGAAGTTTATTTTTTTTTTTAAAACTTAACACATTTCAAAATGTCCTCTCTAAAGTACCATCTGTATCCAATTTCTAATCTATAGAGAGGCTATATGAAACTTATGTTGTACTCATTGATTCTTATAAAACACCCTCCAACACCAAAAAAAGAAATAAAAATTATAAAAATTATAATTAAATATACAGATTTACTAAAAAAAAAAAAGCACATGATAGTAAAAACGAAATTTTGCTTAGAATATTAAGTCAAATAAATTATAAAAATTATTTGACAGATAATTTATATTGGGAAAATTCAAAATATATATAACATTTAAATAAATAATATTTCTGATCTCAAATACTTAACAGTACTACTATACTATACAGTTAGCATAAACCGGCCTAAACTTTGTTCGAGAACTAAGTAGGTATTTTTATTACAAGCTAGTGTGGGAATAAGTACACATAAATAATACATTTATATAAAAACAAAATAATACATCCTAGTTTTAAATTAAAAATTGCCATATTAAGAACTAACAATGCTTTATATTACAGTACCTGATGGAAGAGATCCTGTTGTGAAAAAGCATGAAAAAATAAAAATAAAAATAAAAACATATGTTATGAGTACCTAGGTAGTAGGTATATTTGTAAAATGCCATTACATAAAAAAAAAAAAAAATGTTTTCTATAAATGAAATATTTTTAAATGTTACCTATTTAAAATAAATAAAAAATTATAAAATCATAAACATAAATTATTTATGTAATCACTTGTCATATACCACTTGTAAACAAGTAATTATTTTGTTTATTTAGTTTTAGTACAAAGTAATAAATTTTAATTAAAAGTAAAGTTAAAGTAACTATAAAGTTAATACCAAGTTAATACCAAATAATAAATACTAATAATTATAATAATTTTCATAATAAATTCAATGGTCAAAATTAAATTAAAAAAAAACCTCCTGACATTTGGTTAGTTAGAGATTTATATTTTATGTAAATAAAATGTATTATATCAATTTATTTTATTAATAATCGACTAGTTAAAATTATTAAATTATACCTAAGACAGGTAATTTACATTATAAAAACCAATAGTTATTTATCATTTTAACCAAGAACGATATTACACATGTTCTGATTTGATTATATTCACAAAATGCTATACATATTTTAAATTAAATTAATTTAAACAGGGAATATATTCATTGAGAATACAAATAATTCACACATAGGTACATCCTTAAAACTAACAATAATTTAGTTGTTCTGCAAAAAAAAATTTCAGTGGTAAAATTAAAATTTTTTATTTCACTTATTACAATTACAATTGTTTAATAAAAGTTCCAATAGTATGAGAGTTAAATTAAACAAACTTTTTCAAGCAAAAATTATAGATGAAAAAAATGTATAAATTAAATACGTCTCCATCAGGTACAATATGATTTAAAATGTTTAAGAAGCATTATTTTAGGAATTGATTTTATTTCACAAAAAAAGTATGATAAAAATTAAAAATGTATGATCCACATCTTATTCCAACCGTTTGTAATAATAACTGAATAACAGGTTTGAGTGAGGGTAGGGCAAAAATCTAGCTTTTAAAAATAAATAATTAATTTAATCTATGCCTATAATTATTAGGTATAGTTTCTGTAACAACTATAGGCATTGTTGCAAATAACAATATCAACTTGAGATGCCTACCTAAATTAAAGTAATATTTGATAATATACAAAGAAATAGGTATAATAAATATATTAATTATTAATATCAAGATTGTTAATTTTGAAAATAATATTTTAGATGATATTTAGAGCTTTCACATACAACACCTTTGTTAAAATTAACTGTGGTATTTTGGTAGGTATATTCAATTTAATAGGAATAATACTATAACATCACATTACATAGGTACATACATATAAGCATACATCACATTTCTTTTTTAATAATTGTTATTAAATATTAGCTATCATTGTGTTTAGTTAATAAATCTTTACAGAACATTTTTAACAAATTTTTATGAACTTAAAATGTATACAAATTATTTTTGTTACATTTAATATAAATTTAGGTATTTTATAGATTATTATTAGGTACTATTTCATACTTAAAAACTGTATTCCTATATACCTATGTGGAATAGGTATTCTTAAAAAAAACTCGTCTGTAATACGTAATACCTGTGTAACTTTTTTATTAGTAAATTCTACATTTTACATATTTATTATTAAAACAATGCCAGGTTTTCATTACATTTTTATATTCATTAGCGGAAGCAGGATTTTTAGTTTGCTTTTGCTTTTTAGATTGTTTTAGCTATGACTTAAATATACAAGGTTATTGTAACATAGGCCTATTTTGTTATCAACCAAATTAAATGACAACGTAAAGGTACAGTCTATGGCTTAAGTATAGGTATTCCTATAGACATATAGAACAACTAGACAGCCGACCATAATTTGTTATTGAAGCCGCGTCCCCATCCTGTCCGCTCTATGCCTAAACAGCAATGTTTACACTTTTATATGATAACAATGATCAATATATATATATATATATTTTAAATATGATAAAATATAAACATTGCCGTTTAGACAAATGGCGACACAACTTCAAAACATTGCACAACTGTTGTATAGTAGTCGGCTACCTAGTTGTTCTATATATTTATGGGAATTCCCCTGCCATTTCAATGCCTTAGAGTGATTAAAATATATAGTGGGAGTACTATTGCAATAACCTAGTACATGTAAGCCATCGTTCCTAACCAGCTAAAAAAAATTGAAAGTATGATCCCCGATGTTATTGCAATTTTATAATAAAAAAAAAATAATAATTTATATTCTCTGTGTATTGATTTTGGTAATAAGTAAAATTAAGACTTTGGGAGGAGGGAGGTAGAACTAAGAATCCTACTTCTACATACGCCACTGCTTATATCAGTTTATCATATTTAATTAATGCACTGTGTCCATATATTCCACAACATTCTAAAAGAATATTAAGTACCTAAAATCTGATTGATATTTTTTTATATAAATTTATTAATTTTTATTTTTATAAGAAAATTCTAAATTTTACTAAGACAATCAACTAATAAATTATAATTTTAGAGTATTTTTACCTTAAAACTTTTAGAATAAATAAGTTCTCAATTGTCAATATTTTGGCTGTAATTCCAATCAAGCACGAGAAATGTGTTTTAAAAAATAAAATATGTGGCTAAATAGATAGGTACTACCCAAGAATTTATTTAGTAATAAAATTAAGACCATCTACTTTACCTTTATTAAATACACTAGTTAGTAATAAATATTAAAACTATTTCATTTATATAATTTTTTTCTATACTATTAGATATAGCATTTTATATTACACTAAGTAAATTATCTTTTATGTATGTATTAATAGTAGCTAATCATAGGTAAATATAAAGATTTCACACTACTACAAATTATTATTCGAAATAATACAATACAAATATATAAAAGCTTACCTGTGACTTTATCTCTAATAAGTTTACAGCTTTCAACTTCACCAATTGAAGAAAATAATGATCTAATTTCTTCTTGAGTCATTGTTTGAGGTAAATAATTTACAATAAGGTTGGTTTTACTTTCTTCATTCAAAGAATTTCCTTGTGATGCATGAGAATTTGTACTTGATGTATGTATTGAACCATTATGTGGTAGTGAATCCATTCCGTTTTGCATCATATTGATAATTATAATTCTTTTTAGATTTTTTGACTAGTTTTTTTTTTGTTTCAGTAAACAAATTAAATAAACGAAAACAATAAATTCTGAAATATAATCAAAATAAAAAGTTAGTTCAGCTATATTAATTAACATTATATCTATTAGGTATTGATAATCCAATTTAAATGTAAGCTTGTAGGTAAAAATCTTTTGAAAACTATTGAAAAGTACACATGGTGGGTCTAAGAAATCTGCTACAAATTCCACTGAATAATCCCTTTTTTTTACTGGACAACTAGCTCGTATTTGGACTGATGGCAAAAGAGCAACAGTCTCAAGGTAATAACAGAATATTGATGATAGATTCAAAATATTTAGAATATGAATTATATGAAATTACTCATAATACCTAATTAATCACTTAATAAAGTTTTCAATAGATAGAATCTTGTGAATAATTATTAGTAGTATTAATTTGTTTTTGAGCTTTATGATAACAATTAAAAGTGATTGTTATCCGTTTATGTAATAATAGGTATAATAAATTACAGATTTAGCTCTTAGGTACAATAATATTTATCATAATGAGATAGGTAACCTATCTAGTTCAAGTATGATTGAATGTTTAATAGTTAATGTTACCTATAGTGGCTGTACCTGCATATAAAAAATAAATAATCAACACTATTTCATAAGTACCTATAACCTATAAGCATTAAGTAGTAAATAAATAACCAGGATAAATACTCATTCATTTTTTTATTTCATTTATGTCATGAAATGTGTACCTAGGTTCCTAGTAGGTACCTTGGATGATAAATATTTAAATATTATGAATAGGTATTGTGCTTCTGAATAAATCATTAAAAATACTAGTAAAACAACATTTGTTAGACCCACTTACTCGCATTTCTTATTCAGATAGAATAAAAATAAGTACTTAATAAAATATTCCTATCTTAGCAAATATTTTTTCAGAAAAACCTGGAGTGCTCACTGGTTGTCATAAAAAACAAAATTTTTTACAAGATGTTTATAAAGTTACACAAAAATTGTGTTGTTAAATCGTGGGATGGGTATGGCCAGATGGTTGATCTCCCTGTGGCGAGGAGTTACCTAATAGTTCAAAATTCCGCAGTTATCAGTAGGTGGATGGGGGGAGGGGGGGTAGAAAAATAAAACAATAGCTATCGTTAGTTGTTACCTACCACGTAAAAGTACAGAATATATTGTTAGGTATAGACGAAACAGCTGACAGACTAAAATAATATTATGAATTATGATAGTTGACTCGCTACTTGCAGTCCGTCGAGAACCGCCCAAGCTCAGTGGCATTTTCCAAACGCACACGTATCGGCACTGCGAACTACGCGGTCAACTGTCGGCAAACACATTTTCGGTCAACGACAAAATGAAAAATAAAAATAAAACGAAACGAAGAAACGAAGAAAAACGAAAAGAAAAAAAGAGACAGTGACAGGGCAAGTGGAGCAAGACGTGTGAGGGAGACGACGGCGACGTCCGGGCGTCCGAGAGCTAGCGTGCGACGGAGAGAGTGCGGGAAAAGTGAGACGCGTCTGACTCTTCCGACGTGTGCGGCGGCGGCGTCGTCGTCGTCTAATATAATACGTGCTTACGGGCGATGCGTTCGAACGTCGCCTAAACTTCGATTTAACCGTTAAACGAACGGCACCTATAGTATTAAAATATAATAATAATAACTTTCCTAAGTACTATGTTGACTAATATACTATATAGATCGTTAAACGACAACTTTACACGTTCGGGGATCGATGTCGTTAAACGCGGTTAAATTTATGTAAATAATTTACACAATATGATCATTATTATGATTATGGCTATGATGATTGTGATCGTGATTATAATTTATATTATTATTATTATGTTAATAACATCGGTACGCGATGCACGCACGCATAGAACCTGCGCACGCGCATGGTGCATGGCTTCACGCACGCGCGTGCTCGCGCAGACACTCACACACAAGCCCGGTGCGTCAAACACATGACGACGATAACAATTTTACAGACTACTATACAGGATTATATTTTTTATAACTTATAGTCTCTATTTTTACTTTTTAGTGTATAACTGGGGAGCTTGTAATTTGTACGGACTATGTTGAGCGAAGAAAAAATAAATTCATTCGTAATAATTATAATACCTACTGATAATAATGATAAAAGGGAACAATTGACTAAAGAGTAGAGCTGCTGCTGCGGCGGCCGGCGGACCATAGTACCATACAATGATCGGACATCGTTGGACTAAAAGCGCGTGCGCGCAAGTGAGCTTCGAAGTTCGAGATCCCTCGGCCAGTAAAAAGCTTACAAAATTCTTTTTGGTGCTACACTGCTACTGCATGTCGGCCGTGTCTCATCCCGCTCTCTCTTTCCCCCTATTTCTCTCTCTCACTCCCGTCCCCTCCTTTGAGGCCGCTACAGCCTACAGACCGTCGGACCGAGCAGCTCGAGCGATCGACGGCCCGGCTGTCGGCTACCGCCCCCTCACGGACGATTGCCCGACTACCCGAGCTCGAGTAGATCCGTCCGTCATCAGTCATCACCATTAAGTATTAAATTAAATTCTATTATAATTACATTATTTTATTCTTCGTTCTTACACACCCCCCATCACTCGGAACAACGACATTGATTATTGAAATAAGTTTTAGTCCATCAGTAGAATCGCGCTCGCAATCACACCCTACTCACTTTTACATTAGCAATAAACTTTAGGACGTGCAAAGTTATGAACACTTTTCGGGAAATTTTAATGCGTTTAACTGTTTAAGGCTACACTCTTCGTACTTTCCATTAAATTTTCATTAGTTAGACTTTATTTAATATTTTACTATTGTCATGTACATACTTACACTTAATACCCAGTCACATTTTCACATCAAACACTACTTTGTCCTAAAAATTGGTGAATTTGAACTTCAACAACTTTTTTTAGGTTTTTAAACATTTTTGAGTAAATTTAAGAAAAACTTATAAGGAACCTTGTATTCAATTTTCACGCAATTTTTACTACAAAACGGTAGGTATGCAAATTTTCTTGATTTTGACAAATTTTGTCAGAATTGAAACTTTAAACACTTACAAAAAAAAATTGTAACTTAATATGCCTTTTCTATTCTGCAGTGAGAATTCAAATTCGATTTTGTCAAAAACTGGTGTTGCATGAAAATTCTCATTATTTTTTGTTAGTTGTTCACGATGATTAATTTCCAAAAAATACTGAGAATTTTTTATTTTTACCCCCTTAAAGTACCAACTAGATAAAATGATTTATCAAAAACCACCATCCATGTCGAAGATAGAATATTATATTATACAAAATGTATAAGAAAAAAACAACTCAAACAACGTTGTAAAACCAAATACCAATAATGGCCTAAAGTCTATATTCTAAAACGGCCACGGGAGTCAAACTCATAAATAAAATTCGTGTATAAAAAAAAAGTGTCATATACAATTTAAAGTGTATAACTGTATATTATACACATAAATATGCAGATATTTTAGTTTAAAATAGCCAATTAGGTAAATAAGAAATCAAAAATGTGATATTTATATTAGTAGTATTTATTATATATAGCCATATAGGTAAGTACCTACTTTTATATATTTTAAAATAATTAATACTTCTACTGTTTTTAATGGCCATAGGTACTATATACTACTCAAATGTTTATAATAATTATACTATAATATAAATGTACATATTTCCATCATGTTTAAAATTATTTGTTATGATTAGCTACAAATTAAAAAAACTTTCTTAAAATACCTAGATTATATTTTACCTAACGCGCCTCGATAAGCGTCATGTGTAGAAGCATTGAAGCAATTTATTATTTAAAAAAAATATATTCGAAAATGAGCCTTTATCAAAGATTATGAGGTTCAACGTTATCTATCTATGTATATACTAAAATGGTTATAGCCTTATAGGTTTTAGAGACTTAGAGTCAAGAGGTTAGAGTTTATCAATATTTGGTGGCTATATGAGTGAGCGTGTTCATGGCTGGCAGAGAACGTTGAACGAGTAACATTATATAATATTATTGTATAAGATAGATCAATATAATATAATACCAAGACGCAAACACACTAGGCGATCATTTTTAGGAAACCTTATGATTAAATATTCAGGGATTATTAGCCATTTGGCTTTATGTCTATTTTCTTAGTTCCAAACATTTTTGAATATTTGTAATATACAATTATTGAAGTATCTATGCAAATAATTAATTGGTGTACATATCACCATATTATGTTTTGTTGCTTGTTATTCATAATAACTAATAAATTAAAATATTTAATTATTAATCAAATGTTTTAAATTGTAATATACATATATAATAACATATTAAATTTAAAGTTAAACCATGAACATGTTCATGGTTATAAAAAGGGGGGACAAGTGGGTACCACTAGATTCACTTTTCTACCATAGAAGATTTTGATGCAGACAATCGAAGCATTTTTACTGTCCAAAAAGGTGATGACAGACACAAAAATTAAAAAAATTAAAACCGATATCATTGTAAAATCAATATATTCATCGAAGCGCTCAGTCTAAAATAAAAAGTAAGCAATTGTTGATAAATGTACAAGGTATTAATGACAAAATGTATCATTTGCATCCAAAGAGTAAGAATATGGTTTATTTACTCAAAACTACAGGGTGATCCATTTAACGTAAGACACTTGTCATACGAAAAGTAGATGGTTAAAAGATAAAGTGTCTTACCTTAAATGGTTCACCCTGTATATTGAAGAGGTTCAACAGACGGTTTATTTTTAATACAAAACCATAAGTTGTACAGGCATACGCATACAAATATCCTAAATGAAATAAGTATATAAAATGTTTGCCGACATGCAAATGGCAAATCCTACAAAAATATAGAAGTAAGACACACAATAGAATAACTATTAAACGTAGTAGGTACGGAAAATAATCCGAACGAACCACATAGTATAGTT